ATGACGAAGGCTTTTCTTCTCGCTATCCAAACACTATCAACCCTTCGTAAACCCATTTGAGCCGGTTACTCTCCTTTGGCTACCCTCTTTGGAACCCGGAAGTATTATCGAAAAAAAAAAAAGAAAATATGATGGAAAAAAAAAGAAAAGAAAAAGAAAAGAAAAGAAAAACAAAACAAAAACAAAAACAAAAACAAAAATTTGTTTGCCTGAACTACGTTTGACTTGATCCCGAAAGGGTACGTAGGCAGCCTCTCTCTGGGGTTCAGTCACACCAAAACAAAAATCCCAATTTCCCCAAAAGATGAAACTGGGGCAGATGATATAATGGTTCGGCCACGAATCCGCCGAAATGGTTCCAAAGTTGTAGTTCCGCCCAAATTCCTTTCACCCCAAAGACCTCGTCCAAGTCCTTCCGATCAATTGTCAAAAGCGTGGGAATTGAAAAGCAACATTGTTGGAAGCTGGTATAGTCCAAATTGAGAGATATAAAATGAGAGAGTCTTATCGGTGAAAACCTTTGGGCACCATAAGGCGACGATGAGAAGAGAAATTGAAAATGAGAGAGTCCGTTGGGTGAAAACTCGCAAAGAGCACTATCGGGCGACGGTGAGAAGAGAAATGAGAAAGGTCGATTGGCGAAAACTCGCAAAGGGCGCTGTCGGCCGAAAAGAAGACAACTCACCACAAAAGAGTCCTGGCAAGGTTCCCTGGTTTTGAAATGTAGATCAATGGGTCCACGAGAAGCGGGAAAGTTTTTGTGTCGGGCGTCCAGTCCAAGAAGCATGTCATGTCATTTGAAGCCAGCATGCACCCCAGATAAGTCCTTCTTTTCCCCCCGAAAGGGACGCTTCTCTTTAAACTCATATGCTTGCCTTTTGTATATTTCTTCTTTGAATCCCTTTCTCCGTAAACTATTACAAAGAAAAGGTGGCAGGACCGGCTTCACAGGGCTCCTCCTGGTCAGAGTCGGAGAAAATGCCCAGCCTCAGCGAGTGCGTCAGGCCGATCCTGACTGACCATAGTGGTTGATGCTTTCGAAGCAAAGACATTGGAAAAGAAAGAAAATCAAAGGCAAGGACAGAATAAAGGGAAAAGGCCAGAGCCCACACGGGCGAGTCATAATGAAACCCTGAGAGTTAAACCCGATCGGTTCGAAAAGAGATTCACCCTCAAGGCCAACAAGCAGCAAACTTCTCAACGGAAATGGGGTCGGGATCAAGCAATTGGGATGATCAAGGCCACAAAACCAACCACCGTTTCAAACTAACAAATTGTTCTTTGTTGAAAACAGGACTAATTCAAAGCAACCGTGCAAGAAGCAGGTGCAATCCAAAAGGAAATGAAATGCGCAAGCACTGAAACAGCTTTGCAGCAGGAAAACGACCAAAAAGGAAGTTTCCCCCCAAATTCTTTCGTGCGTTTTGCTAAATAAAAGGAAAACATAGAAAGAGGAAAACAAAAGAAAAAGAAAGAAGGAAAGAAATAAAAATGAAAATCCCAAAAGAAAAACAAATCATGGTAGCATAGGATCCCATTCCTTAAATCTCCCGGCCAAAAAACCGAGGAGCCTTTTCTTTCAAAATCCCGGAACAAAAACCGAGGATCTCCCGGCACAAAAACCGTGGAGCTTTTCTTTCCAAATCCCGGAACAAAAACCGAGGATCTCCTGGCACAAAAACCGTGGAGCCTTTTTCTTTCCAAATCCCGGAACAAAAACCGAGGATCTCCCGGCACAAAAACCGTGGAGCTTTTCTTTCCAAATCCCGGAACAAAAACCGAGGATCTCCCGGCACAAAGGCCGTGGAGCCTTTTCTTTCCAAATCCCGGAACAAAAAACCGAGGATCTCCCGGCACAAAGGCCGTGGAGCCTTTTCTTTCCAAATCCCGGAACAAAAAACCGAGGATCTCCCGGCACAAAAACCGTGGAGCTTTTCTTTCCAAATCCCGGAACAAAAATCGAGGATCCCTTTTACACATTCCCAATTTGATTAGATATGTGTCACAACTAACTCACGAAATTTTCCTAGTGAAAACTGGGGCAGAAAATTTCGTTCGTTTGTATATACCTGGAATTTAGAGTGAAATAAGAAGGAAATAAGGTCAGCAACAGCTCAGCAAATCACAGCAAGAAGATCAGCACTAACACGGCTCACACAAGGCCAGTTTCAACCCAATTCAAGCCACAATACCCATAAAGGAATGATAGAAGAGCAACAGCAATAAAATGACCAAAATCACACTGATCCTTAACCAAATTTAGTTGAAATTGGAACAGGAATACTCAGGTCATTTCAGCCATCAAATATTGAGTTAGAAGATGTAAATCAACAATTAAAACTCGAAATTAACCCAAGGCTTTCAATGGAATAATATTTTTGAGGATTTTTGAAAGTTTTCTGTTATTATTTTTTTTTTGGTTTTTTCTGCAGAATTTAAGATCTAAAATGAAGGTTTAGACTATCAGAATTCAGGTTTGAACTCCCTTTTTATTTTTGGAATTCAGATTTTAGTTTTGGCTTTTAAGAAGAGGATTTTGGGAAAATCATAAGCTGGGAGGTTTTTCGAAATTTTTTAGAGGTCTAAAACTTGTGAAACAAGGCAATGGGTGTGCCTTTTATAGGCAAAACTAGGGCTACCTTCAGATTTTTTTTTTCTTTTTAGTCCCTACCCATTTTCAGCTTTTAGTCCCTTATTTTTTAACTTGTTACCCAAGTTACAACACCTATTTTATTGAAAACTATACTAAAGTCTATTCTAGAAAGTCCTCTGCCCATTACAATTCCTATACTATCCCTTCCCTACTTTAAAAATTACTATTCCTAATAAAACTACCCTTTTCTATGCCTAAATTACCCTTGATCATCCCCTGATATTACTGACCAAGTTAAACCAGTCCATTACCTATAACCAAACAATCCGTTCCTAAGGCTAATCACACTAGACAAATCAGCTAATCCAGGGGTTGAAATAATTAAAACCAAATTGCAGCAACAATTAAGAATCAACTAACTGACCCTAGAATCCAAACACTTAAACGTGTATGTCTACTGGGATTAAAGAATACTAATGTAATTAAACTAAACTAAACTAAATGATTACCACAATAACACAGTAGAGGCTCAATTACTGAAGAAAAGAAAAATGAAATCAAAAGGCTCTAAAGAGTTAAAGATTATCAAACATGCAGAATCGGAACTTACCAATTTTGGGCACTCGATTGACTATGGAGCGCATTCTGACCAGCTTGTTGTGAATCCTCCGGGACTCTTGACACGTAACATCCCTAATCGTGTGTTTTTCGAAGGAAAATACATGATTAGGGATATTACGGTCCAAAATCCCCAAGATTTTGAATTAGGGTTTTTGGCCGAAAAAATTTAAGTGAGGATTCGAGCAAACCCAGGCAGATTCGAGGCAAACGGGCATGGGGATTAGATAGAGGAGGCTCAGGCGGTCACAGGGTGTTAATTTGGGACTGTTTGGTATACTTTGTGTTTTGGCCGGAAATTTTAGATTTAAAATTCGAAGCGTTTGGTTAGGATTCGGGGAAAGTAGTTTTGGGGGTTGGAAAGAGGAGGAAGAGAGGAGTAAGGGGTGTATTTTTTGAGTGGTTTGGAGCTTCGCCGCCGCCGGCGGCGATTTCCGGCCGGCGGCGAACGGCGGAGGGCGGCGGAAACGTGGGGGAGTTCATGGCGGCTAGGGTTCTTTGGAGAGGGGGGTTCGAGAGAGACGAGTGAGGGGGTAAAGGGGGGCGCTTCCGACACTTTTATATTAAAGCATAGGGGTTCCCGTCCGTTGGATCAAGAAACATAGACGGCTAGGATTAATCATAAACAAAACGACGTCGTTTTGGTGGTAAGGGAAACTGGACCGGATCAGGGATATTTGGGCTGGGTCTTGGCCGAATTTTGGGTCCTCTTTTGGGCTAGAATTGTATTTTGGCCCAAATTTTGGGTCCTTTAACAAGACCAACTCTATTAATTCTTTCTTTCTTTTTCTCTTTTTGTATTTTTATATATTTGTTTATTTATTGCTTATGCTAAAACAAGGACATAATTAGACTATGTATTCCTTAAAATATTCAAAACTCTATTTTTTGCAATTTTCTTTTTATTTTAAAACTAAATTAATACCTAATTAATACTAGAATTGTGAAATTAAATGCCTAAATGCAAAAAATGCAACATATTTTGTATTTTCTATGAATTAAAATGCTACACATTTTTTTTTTGTACTTTTATGAATTAAAATGCAACATATATATTTTTTTATATTTATTTTTTGAATAAAAATGCGCAGACAAAAAATGCAAACAAGACACCAAACTTATGCAATTAATTCCTAGAAATCAAATAATTAAAGGAAAAATCCTAATTTTAATGGATTTGTAGGAGTAAATTAAACATGGCAAAAATCACATGCTCACAATGGGAGAGTTACATATTGTGCCTACTGACTAGGAGTGAATTCTCAGGTGATGATTAAGGATTGAGTATTTAAAAAGGAATTGTTTTCCACAGACCAAATTAAGCAAAAGCCAAACAATATTGGTAAACACATTCTCTTGACCCTCCTTGATCCAAAAACTATTTGCTGCTAGACATACTCTAGAAATTTCGATTATTGGCTAAAACTAAGCATACATCAAGGGCAGCAAACAATCAAAACTACCACAATGTCAATGACCATATAATGATTAACCAATCATTTTGGGGTCACTGGTCTAGCACCAGACATGCCTATAACCACAAAAGGATTAATCATTCAATTTTCGATTGTAACTTGTACCTTTACAATTATCTTTATAGTTTCCAGAGATATTTACTAATAAAAAATTCATTGAGTCTAAATGGCAGTCATCATTTATAAATGCAAGTAATAGATGTTAGCAAAGTAAATCCATAATTTCTCAAACTCTGAGACTATAGAGGGAGAGTAATCTATGTTGGCTCTTTGATTTAATATTTGTCCAAAAGTTCAGTAATCGTATTAGCATAATAAAGTGAGTCTCTACCAACTCACTTGAGGACGTATCTTTTTATTTGAGTTTCTATGCCTTAAGGTATCTCTCTATGAATCAGCTACACATAATCATGTAAATACAACCAAAATGGCCGACGACACACAAAGCCACTTCACAGGATGAATGATTACTAGATAAAACTAAACTAATAATCCTTTGCTACAGTCTGTCAAGGTTTGCATTAATATATTTCTTACATAATGCTTTTCACTTATAGAATGAATAGAACAAAAAAGAGTTTATGTGAAAGCACAGAAAAGTACCACGAGACGACGGAGTATTTCCAGCTACATTATACATATTGGGTGATTGTGGTATTCCCTCATGGCCACGGTTGGTATCAACGACCTGATAAATATTAAGACGTAAAATTATTTTATAAGATTAAAATTTTAGAAAATACGCCTAAATTTTTTGAAATTGAGTTACCTCTCCAGTTGAGACTCCATTGATATTCTGAGGCATAGGTAACTCATTTGGAGCAATTTTTCTCAGGACTTGCCGCATCCATGATAGTTCTTGTCTCATAAAACTCATTTCATCATTTTGTTTTTTATTTAACTCTTTTAACTCTGTTATCTAGTGCTTTAGTTCTTGTACAACCTCATCAGACGAATCCTCTATAACAATATTTCCTAAGGAAGATCTACTGCCCCACAACATAGAAGGGGTTGGACCAAGTCCTAATCCACGAACATACCCACTTTTATCATTTTCAACACTTGGGAATACACATCTCCTTCCCAAGCAACACTGCGGGGAGGCTGGTCATTTGATCCGTCAGTATCCCTCAACCTTTCGTTCATCATGTCCTGATTAATTAAGGGCATAACATAGTTAACAATATAGATAAATTTAATACACCAAAATTCCAATTTTCAATTCAGTTGTTCTCTTTAAGTTTTTCTTTTTTTTTTTAAATCTATTTCGTAGTTCAAGAAATAAAAGAAAGAGAAGAAATCTTACAACTGCCTTTGTAGACTCCTCATCCAATAGTCTACCATCCTTATGTTTTATGTGTGTCGGTATAAATATTTCTGCTCGTGTAGGCTCTATACCATTCTTGGCCTATTACAATAAATTTGATGTCAAATCTGCACGATAAAAGAGTTTTAAAATATTTTATTTTGTAATTACACATGTACCTGCGCATCCATTAAGGTGGCAATACTTTTGGATCCTCCTGTGTGAGTCATATTTTGTTTGGCCCTATTATTTTTATTTGCCTGGGTACACCTCTGTCATTGCAACATAAAATAATCAAAACAATATAACAATTAGCAACTAATGAAAATAATCAAAAGACCATAATAATAAGCAACAAATTGTGCATTTTTAAAGTTTATACCTTAGCTTTATCAGAAAGCCAATAAGAAACAAGACCAGTCCATTGATCCCTTGGTATGCGACTTGCTGGTCTATTCTTCAGCAAAGCATCTTTGGTCTTATATTTTTCAAAATATTCACTTTTTAAATCGCATTTGTAATCTTTCCATTTTTTTTCCAATTGACTTTAAGACATACGCTTCTCCACGTGTTGGGATAGAGAACTTTTTCTAAAACCAAAAACAAATTTACCAATAACATGTATTACAGGAATAACAGCAGCAGCAACAATAATAATAGCAATAATAATAATAATAATAATAATAATAATAATAATAATAATAATGTTTACCGTAAAAATAGTAATAACAATTAAATTTGATTATGGGACTCTAAAAATATGTGATCTATTTTTATGCTAGTTGTTAAGCAGTTGATGCTATGTATGTTAGACTTAGAAACGAAATAAGAGTTAAGGATAAGGTGATGATCAAACCGATAGGTTAACAATCGAGGCCTCGAGCTTGTCGATTCGGGAGCCTCGAGGTCGATTATGGAGCTCGGCTATGAGCTATCGAAGGCGGTCGAGGTATGACTAACAGTTATAATAAAATCAACGAAGGCTCTTTATGGCCAATGATAAGTAATAAATGATGAACAATTATGAAGATAGTAAATAGAATCAATAATATCAAGAGAATGTGTTAGAGAGCAAATAAAATGTTCTTGTATATTAGGTATGGAGCAATCCCTCCTTACAATATGACAAGGACCCCCTTTATATAGAAAGGGGGGATCCCATCCTAGTACAAACGCATTTATTACAAAGATATAGAGATGGGACAGCTAGTTGACGTCATGATGCGGGCTCAGCCTAGCCTGACAGACTTTGTCGGCTCTAGTTACACCCCTTGGGAACTCGCCTCTTTTCCAATATAGCCGTTGGTCTGCATTGCCCCGAGGTCGAGCGTCGACAGCCCTCGAAGGTGAACCTCGACCACAGTCTCGAGCCTTGGGAAGTATGTTCGCGGGGCATCATAATGACGGGGAAATTGGACTCCCCCGATTTTACCGTGCACAGATAGTCTCCGCGTTTCTTAGAGTGAAAGTGATAAGAAACGACCTTGAATTTTTGCCCCCTTTGATACTTTTGTAACGACGCCAGTCATAAGGTGCCAAAAGAAGATGCACACGCAGCCCCTGAAGGTATTCGCATTGATTATGGCAGTTAGCTGTCTCTTGGCCCCCTTCAACGTGTACGCAGGGCTTCTATAAATACTCCCCTTCTCGTTCTTTACAACTCTCTATATTTCCAAACCCTAGAAAAGGTTCGTTCTGCCTTTACTTTTGTTCTTTCTTAGGAACGCAACTCCCCTTTTTCTTCCGGACTTTTCTAGGAATGGCGAAAACTCCGCCTCTGCTTCTCAGGAGAATATGGCCTCATCCTCTTCGCTTTTATCTCAAGGTGAAGCGGCCATACCTTCTCGTGCTGAGGAATGTGTCCCAGGATTTTTTGCGATGGCTTCTGATTCTAAGGTCGAGAGGCCTTCTTCGAAGCTGGGGCATCGTGAGCCCGTGACTCAGTATATTAGCTCGATAACAGAAGTCAGAAGAGTGAGAGCTGATTGTCGCTGGGGGACGTTGTGCTCGTGGAGATCCCTACTTGGGAGGAAGATATTACGACATACAAAGCCAATTTTCTCAGTGTGTATACTTACCCGTTTACCATTGGGCCGGTGGGGCCATCTTCGCCCCCGATCGATCCCGTGATTCTCGACTTCTGCCAACAGTATCAAGTGACCCTTGGCCAAATTCATCCTTCATTCTGGCGTGTTGTTTATATGATCAGGTACTACTTGAACATGATCGAGGAGATGCCCTTCACCCTTGATCATCTGATCAGGATAAACAACCCCCGTCTCTTCTGTGGGGATCTAATCAAGCTCCGCTGTCGAGCCCCGAGGGCCCTCTTTGCCTGTACCGAGGAGCTCGGGAATGGGGGATGGATAAGCCGATTTATCCGAGTAAGGACTTCTGACCTGATCCCGGCGGAAAGGATGTTGTTCCTCGAGAAGTGGAATGTGGAACGTAAGTAGATACATTATATAGCATTCCCTCGCTTCTATTTGACTACATTCTTCCAGGTACTTAATTTTTCTTACCAATGCAGCCGCAGCAATTTACCCTGGCGCGGTTCTGGACCTCCCGAATTGGTCGGCCATCTGGACTCGATCTGCTCGTATGTTGAGCGAGTGTGGCGTGATCTATCCCAAGCTCGGTGGGAAGCTAAGGATCATGGTGAGCCTCTACCCCTGCTGTAGTCGCATTTTTCGATCTAAATTACTATTAGCAGCGTTCTCGTTCCCTGTGCTTACCTCTTGCATTTGTGTAGGACTGGGGGAAGTCCCTTTGATAAAGGGAGCATTGCCCGGCGGGGAGGGTGCTTTGTACCCGATGAAGGGAAGAAAAGACAAAGGGATTCATCGGACGGACCTTCGAAATCCAAGAAGATTAAGGCGGAAGAAACTAAGGCCGAACTGGCAGCCCTAACTCCGAAAATGGCGGGAAACCCTCGAGTTGAAGGTAAGGGGAAAATAGCTTCTCTACAGCGCCCGAGGGAGGGATAAACCTGGCCGATCCTTGGGCCGTAGAGATGGTGACTTCTGAGCCGGAGTCTGATGTCGTTGCGGCCCAGCTTCGTAGCGGAGAGACAACTGAGGGAGTATCGGGTGCTGCCCCGAGCTGGCCGGTGGCCAGGGTTCCCCTCTGGCTGGGATGCCTTCGGTAGGTGGTTCGGAGGGGCCTAGTTCTGGGGCCCTGAATGGACAAGGGATGATCCTGATTGACCCTGCTAGTGCCGTGGTCGTGATTGATTCCCTTCAGGGAATGACCCTACCTCCTAAGATAGTGCAAGATGCCCCGCACGAAGAATCTTCTGATGCGGGGATACCTATCAAAGGCGGAGATGCGCTCGAGAGGCTTCCAACCATTCCAGAGGGAATCCCTGAGATCGACGTTTCACTTGTCATTGGTGAGATGAGCAGGCTTTGAGAGCAGGTAATTTGCGCTAATCCTGTCTGTTGCTCTGGCCTCGGTTGCTCTGACCTTTGTCTTTCTAACTTGTCTTTTTTTGTGGATTCAGGCCAAGGCGCTTTATAGTCAGACTTTCACCCGGTATCAGGATGAGGTGACCCGTCATGAGTGCGAGAAGGCTCACCTTACTGAACAGGTTACCTAGTCCCCGTTTGCCATTATCTGAATGTTTTGCCAGATCCTAGTATTTTAACATCTTGGATCTGATTCGTGCAGTTTGAGAAGGAAGGTGCCCTGCTGAGGGAGGAGCTCCGGGCCAAAGACTCCGAAGTCTCGATCTCAAGCGGCATGTGAGGGAGATAACTTCCGAGAGAGATGCCCTCCAGGAGAAGGTGACCTTAGTCGGGTGTCAGCTTAGTGACGCGAGGGAGGATAGTGACAAGTACAGAGGTCTCCGTTCTGAGCTGGTAGCTGCATTATCCAGGATCAAAACTGAAGCTGAGGCGCTTATATCTTTGCATAGAGAGGATGCCATCGCGACAAGCTCTCACCCCGGGAGGGCGCCTGAGGAGGCCGATCCTAAATTAACTCGAGCTGTAGAGAGTGTTCGATTGGGATCTTGGAGGCAAGCTTTTGGGGACGTACATGCGGGAGATATCATTCTTCCTGCCGAGCTCGGGAGGGCGAAGACTCTAGAGAGGAAAGATGTTGTCTTGCTTGCTTTCGGAGGTGTGCCGGGCAATGGCTCAGGAGGTGATAAAAATGAAGGCGGAGCTCCCTGAGGGGAAGAGGCCATCGGAAAGGGGCCGCTGAAGGACCCGTAGTTGTTGGGGTGCAACCTTTGGTGGAGCCATCGAAGATATAGGCTCGATAACAGATTAGGATTCTGTTTGCTTCTCTCTTTGTAAGTTTTTTTTTCAATACTTGTAATCATCCCCCCTGTGGGCCATAAGAAGGCTTTTTATTTCCTACCCCTTCTTTCCGTTTTATTTTTCGAAAATACTATGTGATGTATTTTGACTTTCGACCCGAGGTCCCAGGTCTCGGGTTAGACCCTCAGACCTGGCTTTTTTATGCGTCCGGCCGGCACGACCTTTGATCTTAGCGCTGGTGACAGTGACTCGTACGTATTGGGTCGGTACGCCCTTTTAACGTAAGTTGTCATTTGAGCTCTGATGCTTTTCGCTCTTTGGCATTTTTAGTTAACTGTTCCGGGTTCAGTCTCCGAGTTGGGTTTCGACTCGAGCTCATTTGACCCTCAAGTTTTCGGATTCGTGAGGGCTGGCGACAATGGCTTTTACACCTTGGGCCGATACGGCCTTTTATGCGGGCTGGCGACAATGGCTCTTACGCCTTGCCCTTAGGCATATGTAGTTAACTATTTTGGGTTCAGTCTCCGAGTCAGGTTCCGACTCAAGCTCATTCGACCCTCAAGTTTTCGGATTTGTGTGGGCTGGCGACCATGGCTCTTACGCCTTGGGTCGAAGTGACCTTTTATGCGGGCTGGCGATAATGGATCTTACGCCTTGCCCTTAGGCATATGTAGTTAACTATTTTAGGTTCAGTCTCAGAGTCGGGTTCCGACTCGAGCACATTCGACCCTCAAGTTTTCGGATTTTTCTGGGCTGGCGACAGTGACTCTTACGCCTTTGGTCGAAGCGATCTTTTATACGGGCTATCGACAATGGCTCTTATACCTTGGGTCGAAGCGACCTTTTATTGGCTTTATTTTTCCCTCGTTAAGGACTTTTTGAAGTAAATTTTGCCTGACTCTTCGACGGTTCGATAAAAACCTCGATTTCGAGTTGTTATGTGGCGATGATCGAGCACCTCGGGGGTTTGTCTCGGAGGCTGAGTATCTCGAAGCCTGTGATTTGGAGCTGACATGGTTGAAGCTCTTTTGCCTATGTCGAGGGTATCCTGTTTAACCGGTTCTTTTCGAAGTAGATTCGAAGTAATTGAAGGCCTGTGATTTTGTAGCGACGGTCGGGCGTCCCCGACTCGCGTTAGTTTGGCTGGTACAGCCTTATGACCGTAGTCATTTGTGCTTGGCCGGAGCCGTTTTTGATCCCGAGTGAAGTAGTTTAGGTGTCTATATCGAGGGTATGCCTTTTAGGGGTCTTACAAGTTCAATATATAGCCTTAACTTTGAGATCAGGTTAATGCCTTTAGTAAGGTCTTACAAAATTTTCATGCC